TTGATTAATAAATATCATATTATAGTGTGTGTATATATATATATATATATATATATATATATAATATCATAATTAAATCCTTACAAATTTAATTATAAAAGAAAAAATAAATTAGTGGGTCCCATCTTCCTCCCCATGATGCGTACAATGGCCATTAACCTCTTCCCCATTAACTTCCCATGACACTCCTTTCACAATGCATGATGCATGTCATGGTTCCCATTAACCTCCCCATGACACTCCATTGGAGATGCTCTTAATGTTTGGAATAATTAAGTTTTTGGTTTATTTTTTGAAACAAATAAGTCCTTAGACATTCCAAAACATGTTAAATAATTTTTTGAACTTTCTAAAACATGCTAGATATATTCTTATGGCCTATACAACTAATTAATGTAGAAAAAAAGGAAAAAGTCTGAAAAGGGGGCCAATGGACTTTCATATTCTGAACGATTAAGTCCCTAAACATTTTTTGAACAAAAAAGTACTTAAATCTATAAAATTAAACAAATATACCAAAAAAGTACTTACATTTACAAAAAAAAAATACATACATTTATAAAAGATTATAGATGAAATTTATTTTAATTAAAAATAAAATATATTTTGTCAAGGATTTTTCAAAATAAAAAAGAATTTAAAAAGGATTAATGATTAAATTTATTTTAATTAAAAATAAAATATATTCCGTATAAGATTTTTCAAATTAAAAAAAATTAAAAAAAAGATTTAAAAAGGATTATTGATGAAATTTATTTTAATTAAAAATAAAATATATTTCGTTGGTGATTTTCTAAAGTAAAAAAATAGATGTTGGTCCCTTGAGGGTCTACAAAATATGTATAACAGTTTGTAGAAGAGGGGGGGTGAATACAAACACAGTATTTTCAAATTTAAAATGTATATTGATAAAAGAAGATAATACAAATTTTACAAGACGGTTTGCAGAAAGATAAGGTAAGAAAACCTATCTAAACAATCTTTGGTTAACAAATGAGAAAAGAAATGTTGTAAAGAAAAGTTCTTTTACTTAAGCTTTAGAATGCTCAAAGTAAGAATTAGGTTAAGAGAGTGTGTTGTGCGCGCACTCTGCATGGAGAAGAAACACTTCTATTTATACCCAATGCATTAAATGAACATTTAATGCAATATGGTAGGGTTAGAGTGCGTGTCAAGCCTTAAGAGGAAGGCTTGTCATTTGCTACAGTGAATAGTACAAAAAACCTATTCATGAGCAGGCATCCTTACCTAAAGTTGGTGAGTAACAGAGTCAACTAGTCGACTCCGTATGGGTTTGTCCTTTGTGTGCATAAGGACAAGACAACAACAATCGTGTTTGGCAAACTTCCTTTGATCGCTGAATGTTGGAATAACCTGGAATTCTCTTCAGTATTAGCTGACGCTTGAGCAGTCTTCACACATATGTAGACAAGCTTGTAATCATTGAGTACCGCTTCAGATCACGTACTCACCAGTCTCTAATCTTTAGTTTTAGTGTTCGACTTTGGCTAAAGGTTCTTTGGTGTGAATGTTGTCTTCTTGAAGTATCGCTATCTCTGATTGAATTACAATACAAGTTCTTCAGCGATTGCTGAATAGACTCAGTGATGATCGCTGAAACTGAAAAGACAGAAACATAAATAGAACGTATAAGTGAAAAAGGATTATCATCAAATCACTGAGAGAGAGAATCAACAATCTCCCCCTAATTGATGATAAGAAGACAACATAAAAAAAGTTATCTTATCAAATAAAGTAAGAAAAAGTTACATATAAAGTACATGTCCCTGTTTACTATTTTGGGATCTTTTTCAGTGAGTCAGTCTTTGCCTGAGAATTTTCCTTAAGTTATATCTAAGTGATATTTACAAGGATGAAAATTGAAACTGAAAGCTTATTCACTGACTAATAGATTGTCAGTGAATGTAAAAATTAATATTGGAACTCATAGACTTGTGTCTCTATTACTTTTTTAGGGATCTTTTTCAATGAAGTACAAGAGATACTCATTTTATTATCATTGGTAATATTACAAGTAATCCATTGCATGTCTAATGCTTACAGACTATAATATTAATCACTGAAAGTAGATATAGTAAAATAGATTTATAAGGAAAAGTGAACAGTATTACAAAGAGAAACTAATGTAGAACACTTAGATCTATGTAACTAGGTCAATCTTCACCAAGGTTTCTTCGACGTAGGCATTCCCTTCGTATCTTCAAGTCCATGACTTTTCCAGGCATGCTATCATCTATCTAGAGCAAGAGATAAACCAAATGACCCGTTGGACATAGATGTAGCTCTGACATTCTCTGAAATCTGACTTCACCTTCATAGTCAAAGAATATAACTCCTAACTCAGGTTTGAAATGCACAGAGTTGGGTGTATAGGGACCCTTATCTGGCAAGTCGAGATTCAACATATAAATGTCTATACTCTCATGACCCTTCAGGATTTCATCTAAGGAGAACCTTGTTTCATGTTCGTTTTTTAGGAATGGTCCATCATTAGGATTAGAGATCTTTTGTTTCTTCTTCCCACCTTTCTTCAGAGAAGGCCTGTCAGGGACTGCGACATACCTGGACATCCGTTTGATGAGATCGCTGATGGTGTCCTTGATAATCACCTTATGTATTGACTTGGATCGTTGAATGGCTTGCCTGATCTCCATCCATTCGCTGTATCCATATCGGCCAAGGTAAGAAGGGTACTCGGTGATGGCATCGAGATTGTCCCTGGTGATGAGCATTGAGACCAGTGTTCCACCGTCTTTTGAACGTTCGCTGATGCTGACGCTGAAAATCAGGCGAGGACTGACTCTCTTCTTCAGCTTTGCTTCGCTCCATTGCTTGTCCTTTTCCACCAGCTTCAGGTTCTTCTCATGCTCAGCTTCTACAATGGAAAAAAGTTTAGCCTGAGCTTGGACAGCGTTCACCTTTTTCTTGGACTTTCTCTTGGGCAAAATCTTCTCAGCTAGTGACTTGGCCAGCTTTAAGTTGTCTTCAGTCTGCTTTCTCTAAAGCTCTAGCTCTTCTTCAACCCTTAATGCCTCGAGTCTTTCAGCTTCTGAAAGGAAGTCAAACTCACCACCACTAGAGGTACGAAGAGGGATTTTTACTCTAGTCTGGTCTAGTGACTCATTTAGCTGAGCCATCTGTTGGTAGGTGAGAGCACTGGAGACGGGGTTTTTAGGGACCCATTCCGGTCGACCGCAGGTAGTTGATGGAATTTGAAATTTATACAGAGAAGTGACTACTACATGAGAGATAGAATCTTCAAACAAGGGTTGAGAGATATTGAAAAGTACCTTCAGATTCCCTTCTTCAGCGACCGCTTTGCCTTTCGACTTGTGGTCCTGGTTCTTTGATGGAACAGACTCTCTATCCCTTTGCGCCCCCGGGATGCAGAATCCCTGAAAGCGACTCCCTTGGTAGCGGTTGTTGGCTTTTGATACTTGATGGTAAAGTCATCTTCATCATCATCGTCATCATCACCATCTAGGTCACTTCCGGGTCTAGGATAGTAGGTTCGTCATC